CAAAATACCTCAGAAACTTGAACAAATAGGCTTTAACAAGGCTTTAATAAGATAAACAATAGAGGTACATGAGAAAACATGTTCATAACGAACGAAGAAAAAAATTAAATAGTATCCATGCCGCTCTCTGGTCCAACACTCTACCCATTGCCCTATTGGAGGCTTGTTGTGAAATGAGCTGCACATTACACAACAACAACCATGACGGTTTTTTATACTGAGGAGGTGAAGCTTCGCCCGGGGGTTTCTAGGTGAGGGGCTGAACGCAGGTTCAGGTGGGTTGTCGTACGGCTTGTGACATCACAAAATAACTGAAGTATAAAACTTGTCGTTAATATACATTAAAAATACATTTACTTACTGTAAATATGTCCCTGGGTGCATTTTTTTGGTCCTAGGACTGTTTTTTTAAGAAGTACATACCCAAAGTTGAGTAAAAAAAACTATAAAAAGTGAATTTTGCATAACAGGTCCCCTTTAACATAAAAACTAATAAAGTAAACAAATAGCTCATTTCCACAAGGGGAGAAATGAAAGCAGCTGAAGAAGTAGCTACCTTCAACTTCACATAGTTCTCTTTTTTCTCTTTTACAAAAATCTTTTTATGCATATTTTAAAAGTGAGGACATCACAGAAACAATGAGGTGTGAAAGACGCCTGAGGTTTGACAGGATAACAGAGCAGCTTGTTCAGCACAAAGGATCAGTAAGATGAGGAAACATCACTTTCTATATCAATAAGTTGAAACTGCTGTAAATGTTCAACATGTTTACTACCTGCAGATGGGTAAAGTCATGCGGTTACTCTGCTTCCCCATGAACAGTTTCTTCTCAACCAGAGCATCCAGGACCAGCTGCCTGGCATCAAAACGCTTCTTACCCTTTGAAGCAACAAAGAGAAGAAAGTTGAACCAGATGTTACTAAAACGCAGGCCAGGCAGGCTTAGATACCTGCTCACGTTTAACAAGAGCCGATAAAAACACCACCAGTCTTAATGTACCTCCAGCCACTGCCCACAAGAGGGAGCCATCGTCCCGTCTCCTCGGATCACTGAGACGTGTGGCAGAGAGTGCTTCCTGGACAGGAGCAGGTCTGTGTGGTCGTGAGCAGGGGTCACCTTCACCGCACCTGCAGAGTTCAGAACAAACAGGAACAGCTTTCAGACAGCTTATATTTGAGCATTTGTGACCCATCACATCGAAATGAGGATTAAGTCAAATTTGGTCAAAATGACCTCATCATATTTTCAGATTCTTGGCTTTAAAAGCTACATTTTGATACTGAGATCATCCTGATATCATTAGTAGATCCACAGATATGAGTTAATTTGTCTTGTTGGTTATAATAACACATAAAAAATGGTTTAAATCCTAATTTTATGTAATTTTAATGAGGATTTTTTTTTGTCATTTTTAAAAAGAAACCTCAAATAGTATTTGAATATTGAGGATTTCCAGCTGGAAAGAAACAAAAGTTTTGATAGCTCACAGGGAAAATCTTAATCTGTTTTTTTTTTCTTTTTTTTGTTGCTAATGCTCAAAAAAGTGCTTCAAAAAAATTTAAAGGATAATATTTCAGACAGTTCATTGAAATGATACAT